ACTTATACAAATTAAGGAAAATTACGTGGTCAACGGCGACCACTGTACAGTTGCAGATAGGCGTACACCGATCTGTTTGAGGACAAAATCGTTCGTTCATGCTACCATGAGAACTTGTAGCTCAACGGTTAGGACGTTTGCCTCTGGCCGGAGAGAGGCGAGTTTGGAACTCAAGTGTGGCAGTCATTTCAGCGGCAACACTGGGTTTGGGTATCACTAGCTGACGACGGCTAATGAGGCAGAAATAGCCATTCCAGTGCCCTACGTCTTTGTCGGGAATGACTTTCTGCCTAGCCTTGCAGTGGAGGCTCGAGTGAGAACTCCAATGGCAACATGGACGAACGAGGGTGTCCTCTAACAGATTGGTGAACGCGTATCGGATACTATACATAAGTAGGTGTAAATATCAGCACTAAAAACGCTGAGTGAGAGAGAGAGAGAGAGCAATTTGACTTTACCTGTCTGGATATCGCCTCAGCGTTGCCAGCTGTCCGAGGAGACTTGGCTGGCAGTAAAGTGGGCATAAGGAGATGACGCGAGTCCAGTGGAACGGCCAGCTCAAATTTTATAAGTAAACCAACAAGGTAGGTTAGAGCCAGAGTACGATCCAGGTGTTCGAACTGACGACTGTTGGCCGGATCGCCGCTGCTAACACCGCCGGAGGAGGATGTTTCCGCGGCCAGAAGCTCCCCCAGAGCTGACAGTTTCAATACACCTGAAGAGGGAAGACGGAGTATGTGTCATGTGCGATAATTAGGAGACGCCATCTGGTTCGATGGACATGAAAAATATATTCATTCTTACTAGCTACTGTGTAAATGCAAGTAGGTGTAAATATCACAGGCGTGGCGTTCAACGGTACACGTTGACTGCAGGAGGAAGACTACTGGCAATCAGGATAGGCCCTACTGCCACCGCCTGGAGTACAACCAGTTAGTGTTGCGACGCCCCACGCCTTGTCATCCACTTGGCGCGCCTTAAACACGTACGGGGGATATTCATCACGAAAGGGTTGACGCCTTCAAACACAGGCATTCCCGTCTCCTAACTATAAGGAACTATCGGTAAGGATCTATAAGGGGGAATCCCACAGTGCGCGCAAAACGCCCTCCACTCCAATACGGGCACCTGTGTTCAAGGGGTAGAATGGGTGAGGCATATCGTGGACAATCCAGTGCGCAATAACCATGCAAATTTTAAAAAAAGTTACGCAGGGACGTGCGCCAACCTCGGGCAAGGACACTGAGGAAAATTTTAACATCATCGCTAAGCCCCTACTAGACAAACGGCAAGCGCGTGTATGTCGGGGGAGTTCGCTGACTTTGGGCGAGATCACTGAGGAACATTTTGTAATAATATCACTAACCCCAACTAGAATAACGGTGAACGAGTGAAAAAGTTGAAAGATTTCGGAAATGCACCCTGCTTGAAATTTGTAAGTAAGTGGTTATTTCCGTAGTTAATTTAACAAGCCACTTTACATAATAAACTGAGAATAATAAACTAAGCACATGTCATTGGCGAGACCCCATTATGTATATAAATACAAAGAGACGCCGCCTGTGAATAGCAAAGCATGTAAATCTCGTTGGTGCTTTATTGGCTGCTTGGCCGTGTGCGGCTTCAGCCATCAATGAAACTCCGACGGAAGTGCGCTACGTCCGTCGGCCAAACACCGACTCTCCTCTCTATTTGTCATAAAATAAGGCAAGATAAATTGACGAACAGGGGGACTTTCACAAAGCCACAATATATAACTTGGCACACGGATGAGTGTGTCCTCTAACTGATCGGCGCATGCCTTTCTGCCACTGTATATTAGCGGTCAAGAAAACCTGTAAGAAAGCCAGCCCATGAAGCAGTGGTTAGAGTGTTGGACTTACAATTTACAAGATAGCGAGTTCAAAACTCGAGCGGGGCATCAATTTCTGGGACAATACTTGAATATGGTATAACTAGGTGACGACTGCTAATAAGCCAGAAATAGCCATGCCAGTCTCCCTGGTCTTTGTCGGTAATGTCCTTCTGCCTATATCATTAGCCGCCTCGCGGAGTAGGCTCGATTGTGAGCTCCAAAGGCACCATGGACGGATGAGTGTGCCCTCTAACTGATTAGTGTAAGCCGAACTACTACTGTATATTCCTGATCAAAAACAACCGATAAGATAGCGAGCCCATGGCGCGTTGGTTAGAAAGTTGGACCTCTACCTAACCAGGCAGCAGGGCCACGAACGGGCCACGAATTTCTATGGCAACACTGGAATTCGAGCCCCGCTGGCGCTTACCCGTGTGGTTATGAATGACTGGCTGATTTTAACGACAACTAAGAAGCCAGAAATGGCCATTCAAGTCTCCTTTGCCAGTCCAAGTCAGTTTTATTAGGGGAAAGATAGGCTAACGTCTTTAAGCTCCCTATGGGTAAAACACTGGCTATAAATGCATAAATACAGCAGAAGACTTCATAACATAACTGAAGGCGAAAGGCGAGCAGCTGTCTGTTAGTCTAAAAGGGTAAACGTACGCGACTACTAATTTATAAAGAGTAGTCAACACTTGTCGATAATGTGCTTCTGCCTAGACCGGCCGCTGGCAGGACTCAAAGATTGTCTTCAAGGCACAAAAAAGGAGTGTGCTCCATAAGCAAGCAGTAAACGCCCTTTACCTGACAGCAAACAACAGGCCTAGGAGCCGGTGGCTTCAAAACCCTTTTGAGCCTGGACCACAACACTCGAGGAGAAGTGAAAAGGTGGGAACAAAAAAGAGTAAATCGTCTACTTAATAACAAACGTCTTTGAGCTTCCTATTGGTAACACAACGGTTAAGTCATAAATAGATTTAGGCAAAAGAATTCAAGAAAAAGGGGGAACGGATCGTTTACATAATTGCAGAAGAAAAGACCAAGCAGCTGCCGGTCATTATAAAATAGTAAATATACATGGCTACTCACTCATAAAGAGTAGTACATATTTTAGATAATGTCTGACTTGCCGGCACGTATAGACAGGTTAGGAGGGCGCACGGCGACAGCAGCGGACGCAGGAGCTTCAATAGCTGGCGCGATCTTATTCAGACCAGGGCCTGCTATTGGTCTGCCCCCCAGCCCGGGCGTAGTAGCACCGAGTCGACGCCACACAGAGAAGTAGGGCGCCACAGCCGTT